CAAAACTTTTCAACCAAGGGACAAATATAAAGCTTTCAAAATCCTTATTTTGAAGATAACCTGGAGTTAAATGTATTGTGCTTTTAAGGTTTCAAAGTATGTGTTTATATATATATATATATATATATATATTCTTTTTTTCGCTCTCATAATTGTTGGGTGTCACTGTTGAGTTTTTCTTTGTTTAATATTATGTCATCCTCAGTGGGGTTGACTACGGTTCTAATCTTGTTTTTTAAATTGTAAAGATAAAATTTTTAATTTTGAAAGTAAGTATATCTTTTGGGGAGGGAGGTACACTCTGGATTGCTTCATGTCTTGGCATTTATTTCTAGGTTAAAGTATTTACCTGCATAATCCCACCTCACCAGCCCTTTTTTCTTTTAACTGTGAAAATTTTAAATTTGCGCATCAAATGCTTCATATGCCAAATTAGATTGACTGTAACTTAAGTCATTGATCCTAATTGAGTGGCTATGAAACAGAAGGCTGTAACTCTTAGTGCATTACATAAACCCAATGGCCTCCTGATTGCATGATTTTCCACCTTATCAACAAAAACTAAAATGGTGGACCATGTAACTCTTGAGAAATTATTGTCTTACCATTGCCCAACGACTTATCACAACTTGGATCAAACTACAAGGATAACCATCCTAATATCTTTCTTGTAGCTTGTACAATTCTATATCAAATTTGACTATCTAATTTATTCATGTTATATGTTGCTTTTGAAATTATTTTCAGATATATCCCCCTAAAGACTGGCTTGCAGGATCATCAATGCCTTCAAATTTTAATCAAGGCATCATACAAATGGTACTAGATGAGCTTTCTCCAGATAATGTCCGGTAAATACTAAAATAAAGTTGAGATTAGAACATATGTTGTGCCATTTAATTGTACATGTTCTGTCCTTTTGGTAATGTTCACTTTTGGGTATTGCAATTGACACAATAGGCCTGAATAGGTTTCTCAAAGATTTCAATTTCTATCATTTTTACTTGGGATTTTTCCAAATAATTTTACCATGAAGAAGAGCAAAGAAAAAAAAAATGTAATACCCATATGAATGTGTCAGAAGTCCATGTCTCTTAAATTTTGGGTGTATTGCTCATAATTCTCCAATCTATTATCTGCATTTTGCTAGTTCAGTGGTTGTTTTTGTTGGGTTTTGGTAAATTTTTCTAATAAGCTCCATGTTTGACAGTATCTTTTGGGAGTCAAAGAAATTTGCAGGGCTTACTGACCTGGTGGAGCCATGGTATGGTACTGCATATTCCCTTGAGAAAGTCACTACCTCCATGATTCAGGTTTGTTGTTGGATCTTATATGTGATACTTGAATCTTCAGTTTTTTAAAAGACATACACATGTTGGACAAGTATTGGATAGCTCAAACAGATAGGAGTTGTGGAGATAAACTTGAAGAAAATGCTCATATCTGTGTTGGATAGTTTGTTTTTGTTTGAGATGAATCAGAGCCTTGTATACTTCTTATTATAACATTTTCAAACACATTAGCTATTGAATCAATGATGTTTACTTTTGGTAATTTGAATCTATTGAAAAGGAAATTCCTGATCAAATCTTTGTTGGCAGGAGTGGATGTTATCAGCTCCTAATGAGAATCTGCATCTACCAGCACCTAATATCTTCATTCCAACTGACTTATCGCTTAAGGATCCAAAAGAGAAGGTTTGATAAATCTCTCAATCCATTACTGTGTAATCATTTCTAAATATTTCTGATTAATTAATTTTTTTCTGTAACAGGTCAAGTATCCAGTTTTATTATGGAAGTCATCCTATTCAAGAGTATGGTACAAGCCTGATACAATGTTCTCCTCTCCTAAGGCATACGTCAAGATAGACTTCAATTGCCCCTATGCTAGCAATTCACCTGAGGCTGATGTTCTCACAACAATTTTTGCCTGGTTGGTTATGGATTACTTGAATGAATATGGTAAGTTATTAGATTTCTTTGCTACTGCTGCTCTGCTCCTCTTCAAATAAAGATTTACTCTACTGTATAATAGGATAATAAGTCTGTAGCCTTTAAATGTGCAGGTGGGGTATTGCTTTGCCCTTGCCTGGCATGAGTTACTGCCTATGCATTCTATCTACTGGGGCTGTAGTTATTTTATCTCGTTCAACAAAACTATATTTTTCACAAATATTTTTTAATTTCTTTTTCCCAGCTTACTATGCCCAGGTTGCTGGTCTTCATTATGCCATAAGCCACAGTGGCAGTGGTTTTGAGGTATTTTTCCTTTGCTTTTCCTTTTTTTATGGATCTCTGATAGATTTTTACTTTGGTTTTGTATCCATGTACTGGTTTTGTTCTATGAATGCAAGAAAAGAACTTTTATCTTTGGTTTCCTAACTAATAGAGACACTAGTTTTAAAACATAATTTGAAGGAACTCTTAAATAGGCAGCAATTAGTTGGATGGGATATTCATTTTAGACCAGATTGCTTGTGATATATGGTGATACTATTTTTCTTAATTATATCGATTTTTTTTCTTTAACTTTGGTTAATTCTGTTGCACTTGTTTGATGTTTTAGGAGGATAAAAGTTGGATTAGACTGACAGAGAATGAATTCTTGCTGTTTTTGCCTTTGCCTTCAATTTTTTTTTGATGTTATTTTTGTTGGCTTGAACATCTTTTGTTTCATGATATATGCGAAAATCCATGGAAAGTCTAGATTTGGTTGTAATTTCTTTGTCTGATGTGCTGTTTGGGTGCATCCATTCCATGCAATGTTTGTTGTATTTGTAACTAATGAGTTCTTCTTCAGGTGACAGTGATTGGTTATAATCACAAACTGAGGATCCTATTGGAGACTGTTGTTGATAAGATTGCAAAATTTGAAGTCTTACCTGACAGGTTTTCTGTAATCAAGGTAATGAAATCTTCTTACTTCAGGTATTTTAGAAATCACTTCATTTCATTTTACCCATGAAAACACTCATTATCCAATTAATATATTTCCTATACCTAGCTTCTGGAATATATTTTACCCATTGTGTTCTATTGTATCCTGACACTTCTTAAGCATTGGTATGGTAAAGCCTGCATGTTATTCATAACCATGTAAAAATGTGAGCTTGCAGTTTGCCTATCTAAAGAGGCAGCATTCATCACTCAAGAACGTATAATTAAGGCTTCAGGAGTCAAGCTTTTAAACATGCTTGTGAATAATTTCATTGAACTAGAGTATAGAGGATCTTTTATTTCCACTTCTCTTTCTTAGTTATGAGCTTATACAGTGTCCTCTGAATTTCTTACCCCTCCCATCCTTTATTCAGGAACGGGTTACACAAGACTATCAAAATCTCAAGTTCCATCAGCCTTATCAGCAGGCTATGTACTATTGCTCCTTATTATTGGAGGACCACTCATGGCCTTTGATGGAAGAACTTGAAGTCCTACCAAATATTAAAGCTGAACACCTTGCCAAATTTGCTCCCATGATGCTCTCAAGGGCCTTCCTAGAATGTTACATAGGAGGTGTTTCTTTTTCTTCTTCCCCTTTCAGCCCAAGGTCTGGGTCATGTTTGCTTTATTCTGAATATTATTCTTATGGTCCCTTAGGAAACATTGAACGTGCTGAAGCTGAGTCAATGATACAGCATGTTGAAGATATTTTCTTTAAGGGTTCAAACCCTATATGCCAACCATTATTTTCATCCCAGCATCTCACAAAGAGAATTGTGAAACTTGAAAAGGGCATGAGTTACTTCTACTCTAAGGAAGGCCTAAATCCAAGTGATGATAATTCTGCCCTTCTCCACTATATTCAGGTAATTGTATTTGTCTGGAAACTACAAAAATTTATTCAAATACTGTGGGGGCATTTGGTCATCTAGTCTGGAATGCATTTGTGTGTCTATTGTTTCATATGCAATTCTTCAAGTGTTGTAGAAATCTGAAAGAAATTGCAAAAAAGTCTTTGTGGCCAATCAGTTAAGCACTGATTGCTCAACATTTTTTATTTCTTGACTTGTGGAATTGTACTTTGTTCTGGCTGTTCAAACGTCTTTAAGATGATGTGGTTTTGTCTAATGATTACTTTCAAGAGGGTGCAGCAATTAATGTTTATTGATAAGTTTTCTCATTCAAATGGTTTAATAGTAGTCTATCTTTGGCCTGGCCTAGTGGCCTACTAAGTTGTGTAGGAACTTAGGTTATTATTTCAAAAGATGCTCTTTTTCAATCATCTTGATTATGTTATCTTGTAATCTAATTTGATAGCTAAGTAGTGTAAGTTTTACTTTTACTGGGTAAGAAGTGTCACTGATCTAGATCTTTGTTAAGGTTCTGATGTGAGTAACTTTTAAATGTCCAGGTTCATCAAGATGATTTTATGTTGAACGTGAAACTTCAACTTTTTGCACTTATTGCTAAGCAACCAGCATTTCACCAGCTTAGATCTGTTGAACAACTTGGTTATATTACTGTTCTCTTGCAGCGGTATGAAAAGTTTGTCATCCCAATTTCACACGTCATATCTTTTGTTTTATGTCTAATTTCATTAATTTTATGCTGGTTAGGAATGATTCTGGAATTCATGGATTGCAGTTCATTATCCAGTCCACACTGAAGGTAAATACTGTTGTTTTGTCCTTTCTGTATGATTTATTATTTTGTTGCTCCATCCCTAACACTTGGTTAATCTGCACAGGGCCCAGAACATATTGATCTGAGAGTTGAGGCATTCCTCAGGATGTTTGAGACTCAACTTTATGAGATGACCCATGATGACTTTAAGGTAAAATGACATGTTCTGTTAGACATTAGTAATTCATACATATGCAGAGGTTTAGTTGGAACCTCCATGACAAGGTCTATAGTATGGTAGTAATACACTGCTTGCTGCTGAAGATTTTCTCAAATCATTAACCATTCAAACAAGATGTGTCTTTCTCCATCAGCATGTATTTTTGCATGTCCATGCATTTGCATATGTTTGTGTGGATGGAATTTAATAGTAAAAGTCAACTGCTGAACTTTGGTTATGCAGAGCAATGTAAATGCATTGATTGATATGAAACTTGAGAAGCACAAGAATCTAAGGGAAGAATCTAGATTTTACTGGAGAGAAATTTCTGATGGAACCCTAAAATTTGATCGAAAGGAGGTTGAGGTATGTAATTTTTCTGATCTTATTTTAAGAGTATAGGAGGAACTGAGCATCCATTCAATTGATTGGGGACTTGTAAATGTAATAATGTGGAGAGGCATGAAAAACATGTTTTGGTAGTCTTCCGTTTTCTCTCCATTAATGCAATCTGCAAGGAACAAATCATTAAGACGAACAAAATCACATTGTAACAGGTTGCAGCATTGAAGCAACTTACGCAACAAGAACTGATAGATTTCTTCAATCAGTATATAAGAGTTGGTGCACCGCAAAAGAGGACTTTGAGCGTACACGTGATTGGAAAGGGACATTTATCGGGATACAAAGCCACAAAAACTGAAGTACCTCAACCGGGTGAAATCAATGACATATTCAGTTTCAGAAGATCATTACCTCTTTATGGTTCATTCAAAGGAGGCTCTGGTCTTTTAAAGTTGTAGTCTGAGAGGGGAGCGCAGAAACGGCATTGGAGCTTCAGCTATTCAAAGGAGGAGAGATACAAACTCAAACAAGTTTATGTCATTGATAAAGCTTTATCTTCGATAGTTCTCTGTATGGTATCTATGTGGCGCTAATGAAATTGCTGCTTCATATGTCTCAATTGATCGATTTAAGTGTTGTCAAGCGTCTCTAGTTTCTCACCTCAAAATACAAATTTGGTATATATATTTGCCTACTCACAAATGTAATGCTATTCCAAATTGCATGTGCCTTTATTTGCTACTGTGGTGTTGATGGTATTCTCAATTGTATCTAATAAAAAATGTTGTGGTTATCTCTTTCATCTTTATTTATTTTTTAAAAATGGTATTGTGAAGTATAAACTGCAAAATAATAATAAATTTGTTATTTAATAATTTATACTAATAAATTTGTTAGTTAATAATTTACTCTTTATTTTATTAGGTCTACGACATGTGAAGTGAGAAAAAATGTTATTGGTAGAGGGTGTGGCTAAATCATTATCCTATTGGGAAAGTTAGATTTAGAAAAAAATTAGCTAGTGGGTGTAATATTGAGGTTGTTCAGTAGAAATTTTTCTTAAGTTGTTTTTTAGCAAAAAGTTTAAAACTTTTTTTTCTTGAATTTAAAATATTTTCATGGAATATGTGTTTTTTTTAGTAAAATAGTGCTATAATAAAAGTCTTGAAGGAAATAATGGATTCTCGCTTTTTACAAAACTTGTTATTTTAACATTATTTTGCTAAAAAGTAGACATTTCTTCTAAAATTTTACAAACATAAGAGATAAAGACTTTGAAATTTTTTTTTTTAATAAAGCAACTCTAAAAAAAGCTCTCACAAACGCCTTTAAGATGAGGAAACCCTTATCTTTTAGAAAATGTAAAGAAAGTTTCAGATCCTGTCAGTAAAAATTGAACTGGAAATGCGAACTTCAGCATTCTTTACAAAATCCAAGAAAGTTTTCTTCCCAACCAAATGTGGTCCTCTTTCTTTAGTGGGGTCTTAGACGCTGGTTTTCCATACTCGCCAAGTCCTGTCTACATGCTGCAATTCTACTGAACTTGGTGGGCTCTGGTTATTCTACCAATGTTTTAAAGCTCGACCTGCCTCATTTTGGTTATTAAATTTGGTTTAATTGATTA